TCCTACGCTAGAATTAAGGGAAATAACTTAACATAAAAACGACTACAGATGGTACTTGCGGAAATGTTCCGCATTCTAGGACCTTGGTATAGGCTTTCCATCTAAGTCCTCCAACTTATAAGTGCCTTCTTTAACTGCTGCTCGGACACGATAAAGGTCATCCCAATTTGGAGATAACTTGTTGTGCCTTTCCTGGTAGTTGAACTGAGCTTTCTTGAGGACAAGCTCTCCTGGTCGATAGTAGCGTGATCAAACACGACTGTTGTAATACATGGCCACTCTTTGTTGATATGCAGCCATCTTGATCCTTGCCAGCTCTCTGTGCTCCTCGATCCGATCAAGGTTACACCTCAGACCTTCTGCATTCTTTTCTACTTCAAATGTTTCCACCCTGGGACTTGGGATTCCGATCTCAACGGGTATGACCGCCTCAGATCCTAACGTCATGCTAAATGGGATTTATCCTGTGGCAGTCCGAGGAGTCGTACGATAAGCCCACAACACTTCTGGAGGAATATTAGCTCATAAACCCTTAGCCTCGTCAAGTCTCATTTTCAAGGCTTGCAAGATAGTCCTGTTGGTGACCTCTGCCTGATCATTAGACTGAGCGTATGTTACCGAAGTTGTCCTGAGGTCTATAGACAAACGTTTGCAAAACTCTCGGAAGTGTTGGTTATCAAACTACTTTCCATTGTCAGTGATGAGTGCTTTTGGGACTCCAAAACAACATACAATGGATTTCCACGTGAAACTATGGATATGCTTCTCAGTGATATAAGCCAAAGGTTCTGCTTCGATCCATTTCATAAAATAGTCAATGCCAACGATCAGGAACTTTCTTTGCCTAGTGGCCTATGGAAAAGGTCCCAAAATGTCCATCCCTCATATTGTAAATGGCCAAGGGGTGAAGACTGAGGACATATGAACAGTTGGAGAATGGATGATGTTCGCATGTCTTTGACATTTTTCACATCTCTTGACGAAGTTCATTGCGTCTTCTCTTAGGGTAGGCCAGTAATACCCATGTCTGATGATCACTTGGCTAAAGACCTGCCCTCCAAGTGATTTTTGCAAACTCCTTCGTGCACCTCTCTTAATGCATAATTAGCCTCATTCGGCCTAAGACATCTAAGATATGGCATGTTGAACGACTACTTGTACAAGTGGTTGCCTATGATCGAATACCGGGCTGAGCGTTGAATGATTTTCTTCACCTCTTTATATTCCACAATAGGATCAACTCAACTGAGTCCTTGGTCAAGGTTCATCATTTGTTGCTCCTCTATACTGCGATGCAAAAGGACTTCCACTGGTATAATCATGATGAGCTCGTGATAAGGCAATGTCGCGAGCTTAGACAACGCGTCTGCCTTGGTGTTTTCTATCCATGAGACTTGCTGAACCCCACAATACTCAAATAAATAGACCAAGTCTTGCACATTAGTTTGGTACCTGACCATCATGAGATCCTTTGCCTCATAGTCTCCACGACATTGACATACGACCAATTATGAGTCACTATGGCATTGCACACTTCGGGCGCCCAGCTCCAATGCCATATTTAGTTTAGTTACGAGAGCCTCATACTTAGCCTCATTGTTTGAGGCTTTGAACTTGAACCTTAGATCATAATAAAAAAACATCACCTTATGGTCTGGTTAAGGTCAATCTACCCCCACTCCCATTTTGATTCGATGATCAATCCACATACAAGATCCAACAGCCTTCTATGTGCTCCGTGGTGTTTGGCACTACCCTTGTTTCCAAGAATGTATGCTCTTCTACTGTAGTATACTCTACTACGAAATCGACAAAGGTCTGGACCTTAATACCAGCCCTTGGTCGAAACCGGACATCAGATTCACTAAGCTCAACGCACCACATCACTAGCCTCCCAGTTTTTTCTGGACTCTGTAGATTTTTTTTAATGGTTGGTCTGTGAGTACAACCACCACATGTGCTTGGAAATATGGTCTCAACTTACGAGCTGAGATAACCAAGGCCAATGCCAACTTTTCGATCTTAGGATAGCGAAGTTCGATGCCTCCTAAGACTCGACTCACAAAATAAATCTGCATTTGGACTCCATCTTTCTCTTGGAGTAACACCGAACTTATAGTCGCATCTGACACTCCAAGTTATAGGTATAAAACCTCTCATTGTTGTGGCTTTGTCAAAAGTGGTGGAGTACCCAAGTAAGATTTTTTAAATCCTCCAATGCCCTCTAACAGTCTTCTGTCCAAGCGAACATATTTGCCTTCCTTAACATTTTGAAAAATGGTAGGCTCTTTTCTGCAGATTTTGACGAGAAACGACTAAGTATGGCTAGTCTTTCGGTGAGCCTCTGAACTTCTTACATTGACTTAGGAGGATTCATGTCCAACAATGTTTTGATTTTCTTGGGGTTCGCCTCGATTCCTCGTTGGGTAACCATGTATCAAAGAAACTTTCCCGAGGTCACCCCAAAAGCACACTTGTTGGGATTGAGCTTCATCTTTTAATGCTTGAATACTGCAAAGATCTCCTCTAAGTCAGCTAGTGGTCCTCTGCACGGGGTCTCTTTTCTAGCATGTCGTCAACGTACACTTCAATGTTTCTTCCAATCTGGTTTTTAAAGATCTTGTTCACTAACCTCTGGTATGTAGCCCTCGCGTTCTTCAGACAGAAGAGCATGACCTTATAACAATATAGGCCTCGGTCGTTGACAAAAGAATTTTTAGCTTCATCCCTTGGGTGCATCCTTATCTGATTTCTGAAATGCATCCATGAAGCTGAAGATTTCATATCTGGCGGTGGCGTCTACCAGTTGGTCTATCCTCGATAGAGGAAAGTTGTCCTTGGGACACGCCTTATTTAGACTTGTAAAAGTCTATACACATCCTCTAATGTAATCAGCATCTAAGAGCTTATCCACCTCTCTGTTGATTTCTTGGATCCTATCCGGGGCAAAACTCCTTTTCTTCTGTTGAACTGGAGTAAAGCAAGGGTCCATATTTAGTCGGTGGACTATGACCTCTAGGTCGATTACCAGCATATCAAATGGACTCCAAGCAAAGACTTCGACATTTTCTCTCAGGAATTGGACAAGCTTTGTCTTAAGGTCCTCGGGCAATGAGGACCCTATTCGCAGAACCTTCTCATTGTCTCCTTCATAAATCTCAATTGAGACTAGGGTCTCCACTGGTTCTCCTTTTTTCTTAATCGTCCTCTGGATCTAAGCTCACTATGGTCGGAGCCTTCGAGTTTTTCTTTTACCTTTAAAAAATCCATCATGACGTGGTCAGCTGGGGTGAGTCCCCTATAACAGGAGAGCTATAATTCCTTCCGGCTCAACAATTTCACCTGTGAACCCCATGAGTGGAGTTTTGACTGGCCTTAGTCGTTCGCGATCAGTTTTCATCTTCTCAAATGCATCATAGAATATAATATTAGCCGAGCTGCCACTATCCACCATCACCCTTTTGACTCCCGTAATTCCCATTCGTAAGTGTAACAACCATGGAATCATCATGAGGAGTTAGAATGTTACCCGTGTCTTCCTCTGTAAAGGTTATTGGTTTCTCCCTACGAGCTTTTTTCTCTTGCAGTTCATTTGTTCGAGGTTGCCTTGCATATGCTTTGCGAGCAGAATTGCTTTCTCTGTCGAATGGTCCTCCGGCGAGGCCAACTATGACCCCAAAAACTTGAGTGATCTTCCTCCTCGGACTTTGGGCCCTAGAATTACCCCTCCTAGGACTACGACTTCGATCTTTTGAGCGTCTTCGCCGAGGTTGAGGGTTGCTTCTGTCTTTTTCCACAAATTTCTTAAGGTATCCTCTGCGTATCAAGTCCCCAATCTCGTTTTTCAGGGTTTCACAGTCCTCAGTATCGTGACCGTGGTCTCTGTGAAATGACAATACTTATCCCGACTTCTTTTGTTTGTCGGGGTTCTCATCTTGGTTGGCCACGTGACATAGTCTTTATCTTGAATATACATCAAGATTTCATTCTTTGTAGCATGCAAAGGAGTATACTTTTCAAACCTCGGGAGATTGGACCAATCTTTCGATGAGCTGGTCGTGACAGACAACCTATCCCATACCTTTTTTATCTTTAGCCATTATCCTCACCAATGTCCTTTATCCTCTTTATGTTAGAGGTCTCATGTTCATCCACCGTTCTGGACATCTCCTCAGCGTTGATGTACTTTTAAGCCCTACTAAAGAGTTCAGGGAGGAGGGATAGCGGTGTTTTTTTTTGCCAAAGAGAAAGCCAACCTTGAAGACTTTCGAACCCTATTTATGAGTGCGGTTAAGGCCACAGACTGGTCCAAGTCCTAAATCTCTAGTGCCTTTCCATTGAAATGTTGGATAAACTCTCTTAGCATCTCATTCGACCTCTGAAGAATGCCCATAAGGTAGGATAATGCTTTCTTGTAATGTTTGCTACCAACAAAGTAATTGAGGAATTCTTGTGCCAATTATTTGAATGTATAGATAGAGGCCGCTGGTAGCTAAGAGAACCCAACTCTAGCACTCTTTCTCAGTGTGGCTGAAAACGCTCGGCATTTGATGGCGTTGGTCTCTCAATGAAGCATCATAAGAGCTTGGAAATTCTCGAGGTGGTCACGGGAGTCCGTGGTTCCATCGTAATTCTGCATCTGAGGCATCTTGAAGCTAGAAGGGATTTCCTCAAATGGCCGGGGGTTAATCATGTTTAAAGGTAATCATGTTTAGCTTAGCATTGAGTATGTTTAGCACAGAAATCGGGAAAATCCAGTCGAGGAGACGGAGTGCTTCTTAGGGTTTCCATCTAAAGTCTGGTTAATTTAATAAATGTCTATTGTTCGACACTATATTAGTTATGCTTACATGTGTGTCGAATATCTCACTTTATCTTACCGTGCTAGTTTTGACTACAAACTACGAAGTACGCAGAGGGTTTTACTAATTGGCTTTTGGTTGAAGGTGAGAAAACACCTCCATACTTCGAACATTGAAGTGGTAGAAACTCGAACAGGCATGGCGTCTTACGGTTGCAGAATTCTCGCCAGACCCCTCTTCAACAGATCAAAGTCTTCTTCTTTCTCACGATTCTCATCCGTGAATACCCGTTTTATTCCCTCCAGTTCACTCCGTCAGGTTCGTGCAATGGCGACCAATTCTGACGTTTCTTCGCCATTCAAGAAAGTCCAGATTGAGAGAGATAACTCGGTAGGGTTGATTTTTTGTTGGGCTCCATCGTTTGTAACAATTTGTTGAAGGAAAATGGTTTTCATTTCCTTAATTAGGGTTTTATGATTAGTTTAGACTCGTGGTGAGAAAGATGGACTTTTAGTTGATTGAGTTTGAATATCTGCTTGTGTACAACAATCATTTGTCTGTTGTCTATAAATTTACTTCGATTCTGTTTTTATCTATCAGAAAAACATCAAGAAAGGCTAGAAAGTGATATCTATGTGGATGTAATTTCACATGTACTTGATTTTGTTTTGTTTTATGGTGTTCAATGAGTACGTTTAAGCTCTTGCATTTACCTATTATGTTTTTGAGAATTTTTCTGAATGGAAATTTTGTTGAGTAGACATTTGATGCCTATGTGATCGGGAGAGATGATGCTCCGGGGATTGTTGTGCTTCAAGAATGGTGGGGTGTTGATTTTGAGATCAAGAATCATGCGCAGAAGATTGTCGGGTTTGATAAGGGCTACAAAGCATTGATACCAGAGTAAGAAACAGAGTATTTGTCATGCAAGTTGAGATTTACCCTTTTTTTTTTCTGATGTTTATTATTCTATTCGTTTTATGGCTGTAATTTTCTCTTAAGGTATTCGTAGTTGTCTGTTTCTTATCCTTTTCCTTTTCTTGTCAATAAGCTTGTACGGAGGGAGGGTTGGTCTAAACGCTGCTGAAGCTCAACACTTGATGGATAGTCTTGACTGGAAAGGCGCGGTGAAGGATATTGAAGCCTCTGTCAAGTGGCTCAAGGCAGAAGGTTCTAAGAAGGTGTGTGGCGTTTTATAATGTCTAAAGTACATAGCTGTGGGGCAGAAATCTATTAAGAAGTCCATAGTCGGTACTAGTTACTAGTGCTTTAACTTTCTCTTAGTTGTGTTGAGAAATAAGCATGTGTTTCTATTGGTGTAGTTTCCTGTTATTCTCCAATTGACATTGTGCTAGGCGATGAAATTTCTCAATGTATGATGAATCTTCCAATGTGAGAAGAAAGAAAGTTTAACTTTAGCATGATTTCCTTATAACCATGAATGCTAGCATTAGGTGATATACATAACCTGCAACCTTTTCTGTTGATGATTTGAATTTTCAATTTTATCCTATGAATTTATTCTTTGCCATATTTGGAGTTGGAAAACTTGTATTTCATGAATAGTTCTTGGAAAACCCTCAATGAATCTATTTCTAACCTAGGCCATTTTTTTCCACTTAGCTTATTTTCGAGGCGATACGGCGCTATGCGCTGGTATAATTCTTGTTTTACTAATAAGATTTGTTATAGGTTGGTGTTACTGGGTTCTGCATGGGTAGTGCCCTAGCTATTGCAAGTTCTGTATTGGTTCCGGGGATTGATGCTGTGGTATCTTTTTATGGAGTGCCTTCGCGTGAACTTGCGGACGTCAACAAAGCTGAGGCACCTGTGCAGGCTCACTTTGGTCAACTTGATACCTTTGTTGGGTTTTCGGATGTTGAGGTATGATTGTTATATATTCCAGACTCTTTTGTCTTCCTACGTGATTCTTTTTATAATAATTGACATGTAGATATTTCAGAACATTCATTTCCCGTCTATATTCTTAAATTGAAAGGTTTCGAGATATTGTGGTTGAAGTTTCTTGATAAATTTCTATAATTTAGAAGCAAATAACTTTTGAATTCTAAGTCCTTTTGTATTCTAACCTGAATATTTTGATTTAATGTAACAATTCTCAATTTACTTATTTTTTCCTTTAGCCATTGTTGAATGATTTCTAAATACGTAGTTCCTCGTGTTACAAACTGGCCCCTAGCTTATTAAACAACCTCTAGAAGGTCAAAAATTCTCCAATAACTTATAGACGCTTCTACTGTCAGTGTATTATCATCTTCAGTTGTTGCTTGAAACAATGATTTTTTGCTTCGTGGAACTACCTTTAAAATTCTCTAGTAACTTTATAGCCTTCACCAAATAATGCCTCTGATATAATATCATCTCTGTTTATGTTGTTATGTTGTAATTCTGAAGAGCTACCGATGTACTATAATTAAATACTTTAATGCTATAAACAATGTTCTAGAAGTCGCTAGGCGCTAGGGCCTAAGAAATTAAGATTAAATACATTATTTTTTATTTGTTTTTACTACCTACAAAATAAAACTACCTCAACTTATAATAATATCCACACACCTAACTTTAAATAATAATATCAATATATTATAAAGAAATTGTAATTAGTATTACAATAAAATCAGAAAAAATTGCCGCCGAGGCCGCTTTGGAGCGCCTAGGCCCGCCTGGCCGCCAAGCTGCCGGCTTTTTTCAGCTAATTTGTGCAAATCGGAGGCGGCTGGGTGGCGCCTAGTGCCTAGGCGGCCGTCTAGGCTGATTTTTAGTACAGTAGTTATAGGCGGCAAATGTACATGTATACCTGTATATGGGCATTAATCTTGATTTTTTGTTCTTTTTTTTTTTTTTTTTTTTTTTTTTTTTTTTTTTTTTTTTTTTTCCTTGGTACGTAACTTTGTATCCAGACTGCAAAGAGTTTACAGTATGAACTATGGAGAGCTGGTAAAAATGAGTTTTTCATGTATAAGGGAGTCGGGCATGCCTT